CATTTTTAAAACCCCGCTGGTTCGAACCCCGTGGAACGAGGTGTACTGGTAGTTCGGAATAGGAATCCTAGTTCGAACTACCTAGTTCGAGCCCCGTGTAGCCACGCAGCACAGGGTTCGAACCAGCGGGGTTTTAAAAATGGCAGCTCCCCGCTTATGCAAATGAAGCCCGGAAAATTCAAATCCCGAGCTTCATTTGCAAGTGCGGTATGCCTACATTACCCTCCTAGTTCGAACTAGGAGGGTAGTGTAGACATACCCCTAAAGACCAACAGATTATTTGGACATACGCTTTCGTGGGTTTAAAACAAACGGGTTCGAACCAGCGGGGTTTTAAAAATGGCAGCTCCCCGCTTATGCAAATGAAGCCCGGAAAATTCAAATCCCGAGCTTCATTTGCAAGTGCGGTATGCCTACATTACCCTCCTAGTTCGAACTAGGAGGGTAGTGTAGACATACCCCTAAAGACCAACAGATTATTTGGACATACGCTTTCGTGGGTTTAAAACAAACAAAAAAAACCCATAATCCAACCGCTGCAGAAAAACCACTTTTTTTTTCAGATGCACCTGAAAAGTGTTTTTTACCCACAAAAGCTTATGCCCAAATAGATCTGTTAGTTTTAAGGTTCCACAAGACTCCTTGTCATTAATATTATAAACATTATTGTACAGGCCTAGATCAGGTAAAGATGCTCAGTATGGCTGACACCATACAGAACACATATTACAGTTTAAAGGCAGACTTTACTGTGCCGTGGGGCCGCATTTCTCAAACTGTGGGTCCCGACCCCCTGGGGGGGTCGCAAGCAACTTGGGGGGGGGGTCACAGAATCACAAAGTTTGAGAACCTCTGTCATAGGGTACATCTACACAGCAGTGTTATTTCAAAATAAATGATGTTATTCCAAAATAACAAAGAGTGCGTCTACACTGCAAGCCTTTATTTTGACAATGTCAAGCTGGAGGACTTATTACTCTGCCTCCTGGTAACTCTAATTTTGCGAGGAATAAGGGAAGTCTAAGGAAGAGTGTTCTTCCTTTGACTTCCTGCTGCGTAGACAGCATCAAAAGCCATATTAAGCTATTTTGACTTAAGCAGCCCAATTGATGTAGCTGATGTTGCACATCTTAATTCGACTTTAGCCCTGCTGTGAAGACGTACCCTTAATGTCTTCCTGCATCCAAAAAGCAAAGGGAAATTCCAGTGCTATAAAATCCAATGATTCTTAGTCTGGAGCATTCAGATTTTTGGTATGAGTTTAGGAGCCAGCTTATAGGCATAGTGAAAATGCCGGGCACCTGGCAACCCTACAAACACTCAGCACCCAGCCCCCCCCACCCGAACCCCCCGACCTTAGCACAAAATAGCTGCAGGCTAAAAGACCTAAGGGAAGGAATGCTTCCCCTGAGTTTTAGTGCTCAACCGCTCCCCCGTTCCTATCCCTGCACTTAAAGGGGACACACTGTTTTAATGCTGTTTTATTTTAATTTTTTTTGGCTTAATAAGTCCTTGGAATACTTTTTTATTATTATTATTGTTGCTCAACAACTTTGGTCTCCCTCCCCCCGTCCTTTTTTTCCCTTCAACAGAATTTTTTCCCATTTTTTTTGAGGGGGGGGGAGGTCAGTATTTTTGTTTCAACCATCTGGCAACCCTACTCCTTCCCCCAAACTCCTTTTGTACTTTCACCCCCTCCTGCTGCTAAACTCCCTTTCAGGCCCTGCCCTCTTCACTGCATCCCTGTCCCACTTGCTGGCAGCCTTGTCTTGAACATTGAAGCCCTTATTTTTGTTCCCATCCCAGAGCCTAAGGGGTTCACAAAATCCACTTTCTTTGGAACCCCCCCCCCCAAAAAAAAGTAAATCTGGCCTATGGGAAACCCTGATTCTCAGTCCTCTCTGTCCTTTCCCCTCACCCCATCAGAGCTGGAGTGAATGAGGTGCCTCAATTGGGGGCCTCATGAGTGAGAGTTGAGGGTTTTTGGAGGAGTTTTTTTGCTTCTCACTTATGTGGTCCCTAACTGATTTTTCTGTGGGTTAATCACCTTCAACCCAAAAAAGGGTTATCACCCTGCCATAAATAAAGAAAACATGGAACCTTTTGTGTTGGACATAATATTTTACTTTATTTAAAATGAAGTTTGATAAACTAACATGAGAAAGTTAAAACACTTACTCTGTTTAATAATTTAAATTAAACTGTTCTCCCCAGTTGCAGCCCTAGTAAAATGGCTCAGGTGTAAAAATTTAATTAATAGTGAGGTTCCATTAGCAACTGGTAGTCTGTGGAAAGGAGTATGACTATGGCCAGGTCTTACATGGGCCATGCAAGAAGCAGGGAGAGAATCCTTGCTCCTACCCCTATATAGTCCATTAAGGGCAAGACACACTTCACTTGAGGCACCAAGACCTCAGGCCAGTCCCCATCTTAGACGTTTTCGAAGGGCTGCATCTTTCCATTGTATATTGAATCCTTTGCCAATTTGATCTCTTTTGACACACACACAGGAGCAAGACAGCAAAGGTCCCAAGAATGCTGGAGAGAGAGAAAACTCTAAAAAGGGGGGCAAAGGTGGGAAGAGTGAAGGCTCAGAAGACGAAGAAGACAGCGACGAGAACAATGAGGCAGAAAATGAAGAAGAGGAGGCAGAAAATGAAAAAGTGGACGAGAATGGCAATGGCGGCAATGGCACCAGCACCAATAGTACAGACGGAGAGAATGGGAATGGCGGCAATGGAGATGCTGAGGAAGAGGAGAAGGAAGAAAACGAAGTGACGACCATCGTTCTCACCACCACGGCAGATCAGGGGTTAGATGTCACCACTCCTGCCGAAGATGTGGGTGTTTATGACACCACCACCCCGGCGGATCTATTAGATTATGAAAATGGAGAGACCACCACCACTGGCTATGAAAATGGCTACGAAAGCCCAACAGATTATAACGATGGCAGGGAGAATGGGTATCCCCGAGGGGACAATTACAGAACTTATGAGGATGAATACGGCTACTACAAGGGACATGGGTATGATGTATACGGCCATGATTACTATTACAATCAATGAACAGTAAGACCATGACTCATCTTGTAAATACTAATACTCTGCATGACAATTGTTTTCAAAGTTCTCAGGAAGGTGCAACAAAATGTAACATGATGCCTGTATAAAGGGGGTTGGGTCCATCTTTAATGAGTGGCATTACTGCTAACTACTAAAATGTGCTTGTTATTAAAGACATGTTTTGGACATTATATATGCTCTTGGGGTTTGGAGATTTTTAATCCTGGTGCTGAGAAATATTATGTGTCTGGTGGGATTATCAAAGTTTTGGTGTATACTATATATTTGCAGTGTATTTAATTGTTGTTTATATTAAAATTAATTTTAAAGCAACCAAAATAACCAATATGTTGTAATTAATAAACGTCAATTGCTAGTTTTCTACTACTGGGATCAAATGCTCAGCTGGTTTAAATCAACATGACTGCATTGGAAGCAATGGAGCTACATACAAAACACACGGGCAAGAGGGAATCACAGAATCATAGAGCTGGAAGTCAAGTCCAGCCCCCTGCCAAAGGCAGTACCAATCCCAACTGATGACTGATTAAAAATAGAAAAACATCTCTAGACTAACTTCAGAATAACCTGAAGGGCCCTCTTTCAGAGAATACTCCAGAACAGATTCATCACACTTGTCCTGCAAGCACAATAATAAGATATAGCACTGACTTGAGATGAAACTGTAAAACACAGGTTTTTTTTCCAAGTTAAAAGGGACAAAAATGTGTCTGTTCATCAAAAAATAAACACCAAAAGATAGTGATATATGCTTTTAACATACTTTCATTGTGAAAATAGCCATTTTGTTTAAATAGCAGAAAAGCTAAATTGGAGGAGATTTGAAATTGCTGGGAAAGGCGAGCATTTTTCAGGTCAAAACAAAATGTTAACTGTGCACAACCGCATATACTTTATATATAGCATCTTTGTCTGAGGATCTTAAGGGTTTAAGAGGGGATTAATACATGCCTCTAATGTAGGCAGATATTAGATATATTTTACAGATGGGGAAGTGAGGTCTGGTATGTGAAGTGATATCACCAAAATAAAATATTGCAGGCTCATTGCAGGACTGTAAATAGACTAGAATAGAGGCCTGACCCAGTCTCCTGCTCTGACCACATGACAACACTCCCTTGTCTTTAACCCTTCCATGGTAAACATGTTGGAAAGTTGCCACACATTTCTTATTAATCATGTAATTGGAAGAACAAGTCCTAAAACCTATTATAATTATCAAACAATGTTGACTTCAAAGTAGATATTTATATGCCATACTTTCTGTTCTTTCAATTGGATGGAACAGTTGATAGCTGCTTTGTAGCACAAAAACATTTTTAGATTAAAACTACCCCCTTGTAGTTCTGACACATTTTTGGTTCTAACGTAGCAAGAGGTCATTAGAAATTAAAACAAACTTTACATTTCAGCAAAGGGCACACAACCTACAAAATCTGCTGAAAAGAACTTGCATTCTGAAGATTAAATGTTAAAAGGCAATAGGGAGGTGTGGCAAGGAAAATTACCTTTTTATTTTTCTCCTGCTTTTAAATATCTCTAATTATGCAGATTCTACAACCTCCCTAGGCAATTTATTCCAGTGTTCAATCACCCTGACAGGCAGGAAGATTTTCCTAATGTCCAACCTAAACCTCCCTTGCTGCAAGTTAAATCCATTGCTTTTGTCCTATCATCACAGGTCAAGGAGAAAATTTTTTCTCTCTCCTTGTAACACCCTTTTAGGTACTTGAATACTACTGTCATGTCCCCTCTCAGGCAACATCTATACTATAAGCCTCTTCCGCTAGAGGAAATTCAAATGGAGCGTTCATTTGCATATGTCATGCTCTCATTTGCATTTCCTCTTCGGATCCCTTTTGCGCAAGAGGTTTTTGCTCAAAAAAGAGCTGTGTAGCCATGCACAAGAGCCATGCACAAAAGGGGTTATTTGCGCAAAAACGAGCTGTCTACACAGCTCTTTTTTGCGCAAAAACGTCTTGCTCAAAAGGGATCTGAAGAGGAAATGTAAATGAGACCATGACATATGCAAATGAGCACTCCATTTGAATTTCCTCTAGCGGAAGAGGCTCGTAGTATAGACATAGCGCTAGTCTTCTCTTTTCCAAATGAAACAAACCCAATTCTTTCAGTCTTCCCTCATAGGCCATATGTTTTCTAGACCTTTAACAATTTTTGTGACTCTTCTCTGGACTCTCTCCAATTTCTCCACATCTTTCTTGAAATGTGGTGCCCAGAACTGGACACAAGACTCCAACTGAGACCTAATCAGCACAGAGTAGAGCAGAAGAATGACTTCTTGTGTCTTGCTCAAAACATTCTTGTAAATGCATCCAAGAATCACGTTTGCTTTTTTTGCAACAGTGTCACACTGTAAAAACCACACTCATTTAGCCTGTGGTCCACAATGACTCCTAGATCCCATTCTGCAGTACTTCTTCCTGGATAGTCCCTTCCCATTCTGTATGTGTGGAATTGATTACTCCTTCCTAAGTGGAGTACTTGCATTTGTCCTTATTAAACTTCGTCCTATTTAACTCAGACCTTTCTCCATTTTGTCCAGATCATTTTGAATTATGACCCTATGACCCCAAAGCACTTTCAACCCCTCCCAGTTTGGTATCATCTGCAAACTTAATGAGTGTACTCTCTATGCCATTGTTGATGAAGATATTTAACAGAGCTGGTCACAAAATGGACCACTGTGGAATCCCACTTGTTATGCCCTTCCAGTATGATTGTGAACTGTTAATAATTACTCTCTGAGAATGGTTATCCAGCCAGTTATGCACCCACCTTAGGGTGTGTCTAGACTACCTAGTTTTGTCGACAAAAGTGGACTATCAGCTCTCTGAGCTTACCAAAATCCGCCTTCCTGAAATCCATGGTCTCTATTTTGCTATTCTCCCTTCTATCCTTCTTTAGAATTGTGAACTCTATGATTTCATGATCACTTTCACCCAAGCTGCCTTCCACTTTCAAATTCTCAACCAGTTCCTCCCTATTTGTTAGGATCAAATCTAGAACAGCTTCCCCCCGGTAGCTTTTTCAACCTTCTGAAATAAAAAGTTGTCTCCAATGCAGTCCAAGAACTTATTGGATAGTCTGTGCCCCGCTGTGTTATTTTCCCAACATATATCTGGATAGTTGAAGTCCCCCATCACCACCAAATCTTGGGCTTTGGATGATTTTCTTAGTTGTTTAAAAAAAGCCTCATCCACTTCTTCCACCTGGGTAGGTGGCCTGTAGTAGACTCCTAGCATGACATCACCTTTGTTTTTAATCCCTTTTAACCTAACCCAGAGACTCTCAACACTTCCGTCTCCTATGTCCACCTCCACTTCACTCCAAGTGTGTTCATTTTTAATGTATAAGGCAACACCTCTTCCCTTTTTTCCCCTGTCTATCCTTCCTGAGCAAGCTGTACCCTTC